TGCGTCAACGACCCCATCGGTCTCCAGATACGACTGCAGAACCAGAGCAGACTTTGAGAGTGGTGACGGTCTTGTGGAAGAGCGGTCAAGTGTAGGGTCCATGATAGTATTCATGTCTCCCCAAGTAATAATGAGTGAGTGTTAATACCAGGTAATGAGTGAAGAACGTTTCTGAAAGAATCACTATTTAGTTCTGGATTTCATAAACTGATCTGCAGAACAGAGACCGGGTCCAAATAATCTATTGTTACTGAATCAGGACTCGTCTTTAGTCCAACATGTCTGATTTCATATTTATCTTCCATGTTATGAGTCTGTGCTGACATGAATATCTGTTATTTTCACACATGAACTCAGATTCATTTACAGTTAAGTTTTATTCTTTCTTCAGGTTGATTGRCTGCAGACTGTCAGAGATCAGCTGTTCTTCTCTGGCTTCAGCTCTGAGGTCAAACCCCTCTCATCTGAGAGAACTGGATCTGAGATACAACGAGCTGCAGGACTCAGGAGTGAAGGAGCTGTGTGGTCTTCTACAGAGTCCAACCTGTCCACTGGAGACTCTGAGGTCAGTAGATGGTTGGAGTCRGTCCAMGCTGCTTTCATCAGTATTTTACTAAACACAGTCAGTATCACAGTGAAGATCCAGGGTCTGGACCAGAAGCAGGATTTGTGGTTATCAGGTTAACTTCAGGTTTAGTTTTTTCAGTCCTACGAAGCTCGTTCACTTCTCATCAGGGTAAATCACCATGGTAACTGATGATGGACGGCTAACATGCTCYGGAGCAGGTGAAGTTGGAGATCAACCTGTTTAAAAGCTCCGCCCACTGAGCAAAGGAACTACACTGTTGTGTGGACATGTTGAAGTGTCTTCGTAGTTCAGACCTCAGTGTTTCCTCAGTGAAGCTGTGAGAGGACAACGATGACAGACTTCAGGATTGGACAGAAACACAGAGAGACAACAGTCGGCCAATCAGACGAGCCAGAAGCCGGTTGTGATCGTTTGATTGAGTTGATGTGAAGACGACAGTTGTTGTTGTTTTCATGTGAACAGGAAGTGAAGCTGGACCACAGCTGACAGCCTCACATGATGA